GTGACCTTCTCCCTGGGGGACAGACAACCGAAAAGTGGGTGAAGGGAGACGTCGGACAGGGCAAGATATGACAAATTACCCATTTATAAACTATCAAGGGCTCATGAGGGAGGGGGAGCGGGGAGGGAGGGGAAAAATGAGGACCTAATGTCGGGGGTTTAAGTGGAGAGAAAATGTTTTGAGAATGATGTACAAATGCGCTTTACACAATTGATGTGTGTATGGATTGCGATAACAGTTGTATGAGCCCCTAATAAAATGTTTTAGAAAAAAAACCTCGCAGACCCCAGCAGCCTAATCAATTGACCTCTGTCTGGCGGGCCATGGAGACATGGAGGGACAGGTGGACAGCACTATGCTCCAGGGTACAGCTAACCACAGCCACCACATGGGAGCGAGAGAACTGGGGAGAACAAAGAGGTTGCCAGCTCAGCTCAGAACCCACCATGACCAGAGCAAAGGAAAGGCGGTGGAAGCCAAATACAGTTGGAGCCCTGGTAGGAGAACTGTACTGCACCCGATTTGGTCCGTTTAGGTTGTTTTTTAACTTCATTGTCATGCAAATAATGCTGAATAATGCTGGCTGGGACCATGGCCCAGAGCCTCAAAAGACCCTTGGTGAAGAAAGGCCGAACCCCCACCCCACCCCCACACCCGCAAATTACAAGAGCAGTCTGCAGAAATGGGGGAGCCTTCCCATGAGTGGGCGGGGTCCCGTTGTGAACTGCGGAAGATTGTGGGTCGAGTAAGAAGTAGGTGGCCGTGGGGGCACCCACCAAGGGAAGTCGGGGTACCCAGAAAGCTGGGGTGGCCAGTGGCTGCTCCTTTATCCCTCCTTCCTTTTTCCTTCCTTTTTAAGTGTTAGAGGAATTTCCTATTCATTTAGAGGCCCTGTTATTTCAGGTTTATGGTAATGAAGCATTGTCAATGAGCCCCTCTTCATTCTCTATGAGAGCATGCTGATCAGGCCGCCCTGGGGGTACAGCTCGCTGGGATTAATCTGGGCGGTTCACACTTCCCACTGCCATCTTGGGGGTGTGGGGGTGTGGAGAGCCTTGCCTGGCTCTAAATTTAGCCGCCTCCCTTCACAGGCTTCCTCATCTTGTGCAGGAGCCCAGCTTTGGCCCCGTGGGTTTTGGGGGGACGGTTTTTTTCTCCCCAGATGTGCAAGGTGCCCGATCAGTGGAGCAACTGCCCCTGTGTGCCAGTTCATGTTGGATTTTTGAATGGCATTTCAAAGATCGCGCCAAAGTCTCTCTTTAAGCTCACAGGGCCTATTAACCCCAAAGGGATTCGCCTTGCTAAGTTTCTGAGGCCCACCTTCAGGGCCAACACAGTGGCTCTGTGTTAACGGGACTTCCTTAAGCGAATACCTGGTGACGAGTCGGATTGGAACTATCAGGGCGCCCCAGCCCATACCGATATCCTGAAAGCACCTGGTCTTTCCGGGCAGAGCTCTAGATTTGTAGTTGAACGTTTTTGCCATCCTCAGGGCATATGAGTTTCATGAAGAATAAAAGCTGCTGACAGAAAACAAATGAAAGGTTCGATGAACTGCCTTCTTTCATTAAAGAAAACCAAAGCTGGGCCAAGGTTGCGGGGCATCCTTCTGGGTGGTGAGAGGCAATGCACTTAACCAATCCATTCTGATAAAAATCAGAGTGCTGGAAAGCCCCCAGGGAGCCTCCTGGTGCACAGTGGTTCCCTTGGGCTGGAATGAGAAGCGGGTCTCTGAGGTCACTCCCCTGCCAAAACAGACTTTCTCTCCTAGGTGGGAGTCGGTGATGCAAATGGAGTGCACTAAGTCTGAGGAGAGGGCTGCAGATACTTGCCTGCTCTCCTGCACCAGGAAGGCATCTTTGCCCGCATGCTGCCCAGGAGGAACTGGAGCCTGGGGTGGGGGGGTGCTTAGTGTCAATAGCCACCAGAAGGCAGTCTATGGAGCCTTTGTCACAGGGGCAGCAAACTACGGAATCGCCTTTCTTGTCCTCAGGTGTGTCATTGCGTTGAACTACCGGTTGGGTTTTCTAGAAACGAAAGTATCCCACTGTGGGGGAAGCACAACCTACGCTCTCCTTAGAAGCCAACGTTGGGCGTGTTGAAGGCAGTCCCTGGAAAAGGCCATCCTGGTCGCTAAAGTACAGGGTCAGCGGAAAAGAGGAGGACTCTCAGCAGGATGGCTTCCCAGTGGCTGTGCTGCAGCGCTGGGCTCAAACACAACTGGGAGGAGGCGTGGGCCAGGCGGTGTTTTGTTCCCGGGGTTACAATGAATCAGAACGGACTCCGTGGCACCTAACAGCAACAATGTTGGTGAATACTTTGTAGCAGGCAAAGTTTAAGTGAAAATCTTTCCTGAAATGCTCGTTTGGAATCTGCCCCCTTTCCATACTAAACAGGAGCCCTGGTGGTACCGTGGTTACGAGTTGGGCCCCCATCCTCAAAGCTGACAGTGCCCTGCTCCTTGGGAGAAAGTCGGAGCTTTCTATGCCCGTCAGCAGTTAGAGTCTCAGAATCTCACGGGGACGGTTCTACCCTGCCTTAGAGGGTCGCTGTGAATCAGAATCCAGCCTGGAACAGCGATCGCTGAGTGCCTTTGTGCAGGAGGCTGGCTTGCGGAGTGAGGTGCCTCTGGGCACTTAATTGGGGACTTCGGGTTTGCGGACCCACACGCTTAAGCTGTCCGGCTTCTAGTTGAGGCTTCCAGCAGAGTGATAGAGCCTGTGGAGCATTTATTAGCAGACTGGACAGAACTCTGACATGTCCTGATAAACATCTCAACCCCCAGCATTTCTCACTGGCTTGTTGACCTCCTTGATGAACCCTTCGGTCGTGAATTTTGTTTGTCAGTTCTTTGTAGCCATTGCAATGGATATTAGAACAAAGAGACAAAAAGACAGAGACCCTTAATGAAGACATTACAGGGGACTGGGCAGGACCAAGTGGAAGTGTGAGATGTCTTACCTGAGAAACATTCACCCCAAAAAACCAACCTCACCGCCGCCGAGTCGGTGCCTTATCAGAGTAGCATTGCCCCCCGTGAGTTTCCGAGACTGTCACTGTTAAGGGGAGCAGGAAGCCCTGTCTTTCCCCCTTGGAGCTGCTGGCGGTTTCAAGCTGTGGACCGGAGAGATTGCAGCCCAGCCTCTAACCACTGTGCCACCCGAGCTCCTGGGAGGAGCACTCAGATAACTACATCAGCCTTGCGGGCCTCAGTCCAATCCTGTCTTCACCAGGTACTAGCTGTCTGACCTTGACCGGAGCCTCTGAGAACCTGTGGTGGAGAACAAGCCACGCTCACCTTGGTGGGGGCTCGCAGGGCCGGCACAGAGCCAGCACGCCGTGTGAGGGCTTGTCAGGCTGTGCTACGGTGTAGACACTGCAGTGCGTTGGGCGTGCTTATCATAGTCTTCTCCCTTCGCTATTGTGGAAGTTTTTTCTTTCTTAATATCGTATGAGTCAGCGGTTAACAAATTAGACTCAATTAAAAGCATAATCCTCTGTAATCCAGATGATCACAGTTGACATGTTAGGTTCATCTACCTTTATATATATATATATAAACTATATATATAGTTTAAAATAGGAGTGGCCTGATGGCACAGTGGCTGAAGCACTCTGCTACTGAAAGTCAGCCGTTTAAATCCACCAGACCCTGTGTGGGAGGGAGAGGGGCAGCCTGGTTTCAGAAAGATGCAGGCAGTCAAGCTTTTTTCCCTGTTGTTGTTTTTTTTTCACATGACACCAGACAAGGGGGCTTCAACAAGTTCGTGGGGGGAAATTCCATTATCTTGTCATTCCTTGTTTTCGGTGAACTTTTGGAAGCCCCCACATGCATTTGCAACTTGGGCTTTACTCTCCACCCCAGCCCCAGCCCAGTGATCTGTGTGGTCGGTGTTTGCTGTCCAAACGGGCAGCCCTGCCTCTCTGCCTGCTGACTTGGTGGTGGTCCTCTGGCTGGTGGGCTGGGCATCTCCCACCATGACCCTAGCCACAGGGCGCTCAAAAACAGCTTCTGTGAATGTTCAAGTCCGTCTGTCCCTTCTTCTTCTGTGGAGAATTCTCTGTGAGAGATTCTTCTTTCCAGGTGTGCTGGGTGTAAGGCTTGGATAGAGTCAGTTGGAGGAGGGAGGGGGCGTCTGTCAGAATTGTTATCCAGACAGGTAAGAAGACAATGTCGCATTGTCACTCGGCTGTGGCAAGACCAGAAGGGAGTGGAGAGCATTTGAGGTCAGAAGCTAAAGTGGCCTCCTTGGGGTCACCCCAGCAGCTCTGGATGGAACTCCCAAGTGCGTGGCCCCCAAACCCAAGTTGCTTGCTTGTCTCCGCTCTCTCTCTGTGCCAGGCCTCCTATGGTTCTTGTCCTCTCTGGCTAGGCTCTCTCCTCACCTGCCAGCTATCACGCCCATCTCTCTTGCTTCTCCTCCCTGCGCTCCCCCCTACCCCCCCTCTGCCCCTTCGCCCTCCCTCCCTCCCTCCCTCTGTCATGATGCAATTGGGTTGGGGGACAGGTGTGAAATAAACTTCTGGTGCTGCTGTCCATTACTATAGGACCACATAGCATGGCAGAATTGTTAGCGGAACAGGTAAGACGGGGTTGCTGTGCCCTTGTGTCTGGGTTTTATTTGTTGTGGCTTTTTTTAATTGGGAGCCGGTGAAGTGGGGAAAGAAGCCCTGAGCCCTGCCAGGTTTACTGCAAACTGCTCCCCGCATCGGCCTGGGGTATTTTAAGCCACATTACCTCCCCCGGTTGATATGTTGTCTCTGTAAATTCAGCTGGTATCTCTTGGCTGCATCGTAACAGGGCTCAAAATACACACTTCTGTGTGCTGAGGTTCAGCTAAAATAAGCACAGGAAGGCTCTCATTTGCAGCAGGGTCGGGAGCTCAGCCGGGCTAGCTGTCCTGGGAGCTGCTGCTGTAACGGTGCTGTTTGATTTCCTGATGCCGTGCGAATGCTAACGTGTTGTTTCTGCTTGTTCCCTCATGCCTTCCTGGACTCAGAGAGAGGTAACCAACCCCATGCCCATTGCTCCCCCCCTCCCCCCAGTCCTACATGTCTGACCAAACTCACTCGCTTTCCTCATGCTGTAATCATGCCACCGCACCGCCATCGCTGTCTCTGGGAGCCCGACTCCGCTGTGTTTCGTGTAACCGTTCATCGACATCTGTTGTGTGTCCCGCATACGCAGACAGTCCCTGCAACGCCGGGCTCCCGCTCCTCTGCGGGGCTGAGCCTTCCCCAGGGGCCTTAAGTCCAAGGAGAAGTTGGTCGCTGTCGGCGGAGGGGAACGACAACTGACCTGTGAGGGAGCGACTGTGACAGAAATGTTTAGACTGTGCACCATGTCGTCCCCAGGGGCCCATTTGTGTCTGCTCCCTGAGAACTCAGCCTTGGCGCTTCTTCAGATTCTGTGTCCCTCAGGATTGGTGTGGCACTAGGCGAGCCCCCCGCCCCCAGCGAGGGCGTTGAGTTTGCGTATCAGTCACTTTCCCAAAGCAATCTGCAATGCTTCCCCTGGTTCGCGCTTCCCCAGAAGGAGAGCAAGGTGGTTTACAAAGGATTAAAAACCCCTTGCCATGCAGTCGGTTCTGAAATGAAAGGTAGTTATACTGCAGTGTGGGGTGTGTGTGTGTGTGTGTGTGTGTGTGTGTAATTCAGAATCTTGGTCTAAGAAGGTGAAATTTCTCTTCCCAAACAAGAAGGCCAACTTGATCTTGAACCGACTCCTTCTCCCTCCTCTGCTGGTGGGCCCTAGCACCAATCCACACTTTGAGACTGCCTTGGAGCCTCGTGTCCCCACCCACCCGCTACACCCCACGGCACCAGGTTTTCACCTTCCCATTTCCACTGTGGGTCCCGCGCTGGGCCCTGGGCAGGTCAGACCAAGGTGGGAAAGCCCTTTGTGATCAGCACCTAGAAATGCCACGTCTGACTTGAAACCCTAGCTCATTGTTGCTCCCTTATTTGCAAAATGGACCTGTGCCCTCTGCGATAATAACTCTGGTGGCTTTTATTAGCCACGGGAAAAGACAAAAAATAAATCACAGTTATATGTATTCATACAACTACAAATATTGAGTAAAGCATCCTTCATGGCTAAAGGTACAGTATTTTCAAAGTGAGATGACCCCAGATGGTGCACATGGTTAATGCCCTTGGCCTCTAACCCAAAGGTTGGAGGTTCAGATCCCCACAAAGCGCCTCAAAAGAAACACCCATGATCGACTTCCAGAAAGTCAGTCATTGGAAACAGAGCGGAGCACAAGACCGACTGACGCGCATGCGGCAGCCTGAGGCCCAGGTGACAACAGCACTACCAGCTTGCTAGGTAGCTGTTTCCGAGTGGGCTTTTTTAACTGCTTTGTCCTCATTTATAAAAGCAATAACCACCATTAATCAATCACATCTAGCGCATGCTAGCCTGCCAGTCTTCACCGATCCCTTGCACACAACATGCTATGTATTTGGCCTTAGCAAATAGGGATTTATGCTAGAGTCTTTGAAACCGTGGAGAGGGTTGGTACAGAACTCCCAGCAGAAGGATATGGGGACTGAGTGGAAAGTGAGTCTAATGAGAAAAAGCGAGAGAGAGAAAAGAGAGCATCTAATTGCGAAGGGGACAGCTAGCAAGGTCAGCTGGATCTTTGCTGCTCGAGAAAGCCAGAGTAGACACACAGAGAGACACACACACACACAGGGAGACACACACACACACAAGCAAAAGCTGCAGGGAGAAGTGTCAGTCGGTCGAGTAGGAAGAATATATTTTGGGTCACCGACCTCATTCCGAAATGGAACAGGCAGTGACTCATGAAGGAAATGAAAGTTCCTATCATTGGAAACATTCTGGCTAAACCGCTGTAGAAGGGACTCTGACATTTCAGTCTAGATAACCACTAAGGCGTTGGTAAATGTCTCTTAAATTACTTTGGGAGAAAGGCATCCAGTGCCACCTATTACAGAGATTACCGGAAGTGGCAGCCTTTAACAAATAAATGTGTTCTCTCTCAATTCCGGAGGCTAGATGTCAAATTCAAGGTGCCAACTCTCTCTCTCTCTCTCTCTCTCTCTATCTATCTATCTATCTATCTATCATCTATCTATCGCTATCTCACACGCACCCACGCACACTCATAGTGGTACTACAGGAGAGGGTAGAACTGCCCCTGTGGATTCCCAAGACAATGAATCTTTACAGTAGCTGGTGGTTTTGAACTGCCAACTCCGTGTAATAAACGCTAATAACCCAATGTGTAAATAAGGTAGGTCCTTCTTTTCTCATCTTTTGAAAGACAGAAGGTGATGCAGGCTACACCCCAGGAGGGAAGAGAAGGAAGGTTACTCCACCTGATTAAGGAGTTGTTTATTCAGCCCTTGATTAGGCGGCCGCCCAACTGAGTGAAAGAAGCAAATGTTTCCCTGTGTTCCCTTTCCCACGAAGAAGCCTGAGGCTGTTAGGTCAGGTCCTGGGCGAGCCTCTGGGGCCACTTGTGGGACATGGGCCATTGCAAACCATGAGGCGCCCAGTCCGCTGGCGCACCAGGGGTCCACAGGTGGAGCGAGTCGGCGTGGACTCTCCGCGCTGGTCTATTATTTCATAGAAGGGGGCGCTGGGGCCCTAGGGGCTGGAGGGACTACCTACCCAGGCACCCAGTCCGCTGGAGGCAGCGGGAGAGGCCCCCCTCCCGAATTGAGTGTTTCAGTTGATGGTGGCAGCCCCAGGGTGAGCTCCTGAAGGAGAGGCACTTGGGAGAGCGCTCCCTGGCTCTTCATTTGACCAGCCCCCAAATCCCCTCTGTGGTGGCCTGGCCAGCCCCTCCCAACACCACCACCACCCCCTCCGCTCCTGCAGGGGAAGGAGATGCTCAGTGGTCCTTGTGAGCTCTGCTTCCAGCAGCATTGCCTGGGAGGACAAAGTCAAGATGGGCTGAGCGTGGGTGCGGAGATCTGGCAGTTCATTGACCAGTCTCGCAATGCGCTCTCCCTTTCACTGGTGGCCGAGGGCTCCAGCTCCCTTCCCAAGAGACCTGCCCAGGAGCCAAAGGTCACCATTCACCTCCCTTGTGGCCATGCTCCTACCGTCACCCCTTCTACAGCTGCAGATTTCTTCACCAGCTTCTCCCAGGCCTCCTCTCTGCCCCACACCCAGCACCCTTCTCTGTACCCCATCACAGGCCCCTCCACCTCAGCTAGTTTTTGTGCTAGTTCTCCCTCTCGCTCCGGCTGCCTCCCCATCTACGCCTCCGGCCCAGACCCCCAGGCTGGAGTTCACCCGCTCAGTGGGCTTCACCATCTGGCACACCACACAGCACCTCACACTTAATTGTCCGACCGGGAGTTCACCAGCTTCCTTCACCAAACTGCTCTCCCTCCTCCAAGAGATGTGTCAGCCTCCTGGTGGCGACTCTCTGGGCTGTTGTTCTTCATGCCTTCCCTGTCTGACACGTGCACCACATCTGCCAGCGCCACATCCACACCTCAGCTCCTCCACCCTCCGCTCACAGCTGCTAGCTTAGCAAGGACCTCTCTCGTCCTCTCTCACTGGATGGTGGCCATGCCAGTGGCCACAGGGCGACCCCGTGCATGTCAGAGTAGACCTGTGCTGTGTATAGTCTTTAATGGAAGTAGGTCAACAGCCCTTTCTTCTGAGGGGCTCAGGTGTCCTTGAACCTCCAACTTTGATTTCACAGCCGTGCGCCTCCCAGGCACTCTGGGACCCTAGCAGTAGCCCTTGCACCCAATGTGTTCCTCCCGAGAGAACCTTCTAAAACACATGCCTGATGGTGCCATTATCCAAAGCTCAGAATAAGAACCCGGCTCCTGGCAGCTCCCAAGGATCTCTGCAAGTCCATTCTGGGCTCCTAGAAGCTGTGCAGTCAGTCCCTGCCCCCACGGCGTCTCCAGGCCACATGGTGGTACCACCTTCGATGGGTGTGGTTAAGTCTATGTTTGGCTCATGATGGAGCAGGGGGCTGCCGCAGGGGGCTTTCTGGTCCACCTTAAGCGAAGCAGATTGCCTGATCTTCTGCCCACAGAGCCCCTGGGGGGTTTCAAACAACTAATAGCTCGTGTAATAGCTGAGCACTTAACCTTTGCTCTGCGAGGGCCCCTTCTGGACACCCTGGGCTTCCTATCCTGCTTGCTGTTGCTCACGCTCATTAGATTGTTTCTTGAACTCTCTACTGCCCGTCCCAGCCTGATTTGACCACAGACCCAAGTCACTGCCGTCAAATCAATTCCAACTCTTCATGAGCTTGCAGTAGAACCACCCCCGTAGGTAGGTTTGTGAGACGGTAGAAAACCTCACCTTTGTCCCGTGGAACTGCGGGTGGTTTCAAACTGCTGGCCTTGCAGTTAGCAGCCCCACGTGTGACCACTATGGCACCACGGCTTAAAGAGCCGGCTTTGATGGCAGCGCACACTGGCCTCCTCAGGCAAGAACCTTGTCTGTGTTTGCCTAGAGCCTGGCACTCGAGAGGCTCAGGAGCTGGTTTGTAGCAGTGAGCTGAGCTTTTTAAAAATATTTTTTCAATGCCATTTCATCATTTCGTTTGCATATCAAGCCAAACGGCAGCTGTGTTGGTGTCCTGCCAGTGCCACAACACAGCCCCACAGACACGGTGCCTTAAAACCAAGCTCACGTTTGTTATCAAATAGACGTGGCGGCCCGAGGTCTGAACAGTCTGACGGATTAACCCCAGGGGGCTGCCAGTGCCACAACACAGCCCCACAGACACGGTGGCTTAAAACCAAGCACACGTGTGTTATCAAATAGACGTGGCGCCCCGAGGTCTGAACAGTCTGACGGATTGACCCCAGGGGGCTGGTAGGGCTGCTTCCTTCGAGACAGAGGCTGCCTGCATTCCGTGGTTTGTGAACCTTCCTCCACATTCAAAGCCAGAAGCTTCCCATCTTCAAATCGCAGAGTCCACCTCGATCCGTGCTCTGTCTTTGGGTCTCCTGACTAGCCCTCTTGCCTCTGATACAGACCCCTGTGATTGCAGTGGGCCTGCCTGCATGATCAGGGGACCCTGAATGGCCAAAAATGGCGAAGCACTGCTACTCAGAACCACGCGGAGGCACCTCGGAGGAAAGGCCTGGCAATCTGTTTCTGCAGGCAGGCCTCGGAAACCTGTGGAAGTAGTTCAACTCTGCATTTATGGGGTCCCCACGAGTCAGGATCAGCTCAACTGGCAGCCCACTGTGCATTAGGTTGGATTCTCCAGAGAATCGAAATCAGTGACGCTTGTACGGGTCTCCACAGGGCTCAGCGCTGGCAGGGGTCTCCACAGGGCTCCTCCAGCTCAGGGCACTAGCATAGTTCCATGTGTCTTGTCAGCTGCCATGTCTCCCAGGAAGTGAGCATGTGTCCCACCTCAAGTGAGCTATGTATCTCCTTAGCGCCTCCAAATGAGGTCATCAAGCTGCCACCTGATTGACAGGCTGAACTCTACCCCTTCAGTCTTAATCCTCAAATTGACAATAGATGATGTAACTACCACAGTCACCAAGTGAGAGAAGAGACGAAGGAGTGTGCTTGTCCATCCCTCTCTGGAGAAGAAGCGGGAGAACTCTTCCGTTGGAGGGACAATGCTGGAGAGGCTTGGAAGAAAGAAGTTTGGGACTCTTGAAATCCAACCAGGTCTTGGGGCTTTACCCAGGTGGTCACTGGAAGCTTTGCCGAAGAGGCTTTCCTCAAAAACATTCCAGCTGTACATGGGCATTTGGAAAAAGAGTTTTATGTGGCGAGACTTTGTGAGTATTCTATTATCATCTAGAAAAGTATTCGGGGGCGGGGGGCGGGGAGAAGCAGGGCTTCCCTGGAGCTGGGCTCTTAGAGTGAGGCCCTGCCCTTCGTGTGCTGCTGCTGTTGGTTTGTTTTAAGGAAATATGTAGCCTTGGTAGTGGTTGACGTGAAGGGAGAGGAGCCTCAGAGTACCCAGTGTGGAATAAGACTCCCCTGTGTTGGGTGGTGGTGTAGTGGTTACACGTTGGGCTACTAACCACGGTCAGCCGTTTGGAGCCACCAGCCGGTCCACAGGGGAGAAGATGAGACTTTCTGTGCTCATAAGGAGTCGCAGTCTCAGACCCACGGGGCAGAAGAACTCTATCCCATGGGATCACTGTGAGTCAGAATTGACTTGCTGGCAGTGAACTTCAGGCTAGTTTGAGTGCTTGCCTCTCAAGAGCCCCGACCGTATTCAACTCAACCCTCACACAACCTGTCTGCCAGCTGCCGAAGGCTTGGCTTCCCTGACAGGACATGGGTGTGTGCTGCAGGCCCTTTGCTTAGAGAGGAGAGAGCCCTCGGTCAATGACTTTTATTGGAATGGGCTGTTGGTTAAAGGGTGGGCTGCTGACCCTAAGGTGGGCAGTTCAAACCCATCAGCCGCTGTGTAGGAGAACGACCGACTCCTGTAAAGAGGTACAGCCTGGGCAGCCCTCTGTCGGGTGGCTGGGTCAGGACTCACCTGGGGGCAGTGGGTTTGGTTTTTGGTTTGTCTCCACCAGGTCTGGGCTAGGTGTTGGAGATAAGTCCCACCTCACCTGGGGACGACAGACTCCTAAGGAGCTGCGTTCATGTATGGAGTGCTGAACCACATGGATCAAAGGTGGCCGGCGCCAGCCGAGTCCCAAACGGGCAGTCAGGAGGAGATGACATGGGGGTTGAGGGGGAGTTTGCCTAGAACACCTGGTAGTATAGGGAGTAAAATACATCCAAAGTGGTGTGTTAGATCAGGTTGTCTAGAGAAACAAATCTAGTGACATGGGTATGTATAACCACAAGAGCGTTCTATGAAGAACGCATCCCAGTCCAGTCCGACTCCAGTCCTTATGTCCAATGCAGGCCAGGGCCTTCTTCAGACTGGAGTAGCTGCAGGCCCGAGACAGGAAGGTCAGAGGCCAGTGGGTCAAGGTCACGTGGATCCAAAGTCGGCGAGAACGTGACAGGAAGATGAAGACAAGAAGGCCACACGCACACAAGGCCTGCTCAGGCTGTGACCCTGATTGACCGCTGGACTCCAGCCCTACCCCTACCGACAGAGCCCAAGGAATAAGAATGACCCCAAGCCCACGCAGAGGGCAGAGAGTGTCAGTAGAGGCTTTCCGGCCACGTTTCCAGGTGCCTCCACCCTGGGAGTCATCTCTCGAATCAGGGAGACGAAAACCCAGTTTCTTCACAAGAAGGTCACCCCACTCACTGGAGGCCTGCTCGACAGTTGGACCTCACCCATAAAGGCCTCGAACTACCACCTGTGGGGAGTGGAGAGGCCGCCAGTAATCCCTCGGATGATGCCAAGGGAGCTAGTACAGAGCTGCTTCAACTGCGGGTCGAGACCTCCCCCCCTATGGGGCCCATCACCGAGAGTCTGTCACAGAGTGTGAACAATTTAGCCACAATAAAAGGTTTCTAAAAATGCAACAACCAAAAAATTCATCCAAAATCCAACATATGATGAGCCCAAAGTGCTTGTCTGTGTTTCAAACCTCTCGGGCAAAAAGTAGTCGGGAGTGAAGGGCCCCCAGGAGCCCTGAGCCGGCAGCTGAGAGTGGAAGGAGGAGGTTGGAGAGAGGAGAGCCTATCACCATGTCCGTCCGGTGTTGGGCGCGTCGAGCTGACAGTGCCTGTGGGGCAGGCTAGTAGAGCTGTCCCCCGCCCTGGAGGCGGGGCTGCAGGACCCCCACCCACCATGGGGACGCGTGGAGCTGACAGTGCCTGTGGGGCAGGCTAGTAGAGCTGTCCCCGGCCCTGGAGGCTGGGCTGCAGGACCCCCACCCACCATGGAGTTGCCTGTGACATAGCCAGTTGATGGGATGCCATCAGTTCTGGCCAGCCTCCCTCTCACCAGGTCTCCCTATCCTGAACCCTGCACTCTTCCCGGGCAGGCCTCTTGTGTCCTCCCAAGACAGCACCTCAGGGTGTCTGAGGAGAAGCATCGTCTGGGATGGGGGTGCGGGGGTCGGAAGCTACCAGTTCTTCTCTTCATGGAGACAAATCAAAGACACCCTCTCATCCCAACTGCTTAGCATCAGACGCGAAGAAATCGCTGCAGCGCATCACCAGGTGGGCAGTGTCTGTCCTGAGCACCTTGACCCTTAAAGCCCTGTGCTCCAATCTCAGCAGTGAGGATTGTAGTTAGAGTGCCTGGGTTTTCTGAAGCCAGGCCATGTCCCAGTCAGCCGCCTTTTTGTCAGTAAAGCGGATGCCACCATCCAGCACACAATGTGTTCCTCCACCCCACCCGCTTCTGTGTGCAGGTGAGCAGCGGGCAGTGCCACGTGAGAGCGTCGCATCAGGGTGTTGCACAGTCAAAGGCCCTAAGTGGGCCCCAGGCTGGTGAGGGGCCGCTGTGGTTGCCCGAGGGCGAAGGCTTGATTCCCCCCACGCCCACCCCGTTGTTTTTGCTTCAGCTGCCCCCCTCCCCCCGCCCCGCGTCTGTTGTGTCTGTTGTTCTGTCTCCACGCTCATCTGCAGTCTGCGCTCTGTCTGTCCTGTCACCATCATGATGTTCACATTGGGGTGTCTGCTGCACCCCTGGAAGGGAGGCTTGGGCTGAACTCATGCTGAGAGATGGGCAGGCTGGGCTTGAAGGGCACTGCCGCCACCTCCCTCGGCCCCGAATCCATCCGACACCCATGTCAGCCTGTTCCTCCGTGGGCGTAAGGGCGCTGTGGGAATGTGGGGCTCTTTCTTAACGACCCCACCATCGCGTGCACACACACACACTCCCACACACGCTAATGTCCCTGGCGTGAGGGTTGCGTGTCCGGAAAACCGACCTCCTCTAACTCGAGGACATGTCTTCTGTGTGCAGGGATTTTGCTTACGTAGCAAGAGACAGAGACACCAGGATTCTGAAATGTCATGTATTTCGATGTGACACACCAGCAAAAGCCATCGCCACAAGTCTCCACGAAATCTGTTCCAAGGTGAGGTGGGCCTGGCCTTGGGGGTCCTTTCTCGCCACCTCTGCAGCAGGTGAAGGGAGGGCGGGAGGGCGGGGACACTGACCTAGGGTAGAGCTGGCAGGCTGTGGGCTCAGCCCACTACCGTCGACCCTGGAGCACAGAAGTAAGGGGGCGGGGTGGGGGCGTTGGACAGCAACCCTCTGTGCCACGGAAGAAACCCTGCGGCCTCCTGCACCATGTGCAGAGCTGATATGAGATGTGATGAGTGTCTGTGGACCCCTGGGGCATGCGTGGAAAGCAGCCTCAGTCCCAACAGGCATGGAAAGCTTAAGCCTGGGGGCCGGTGTGGGGTGTCACGGGTGAGTGGCCTTCTTCCGGGCCCCAGAGCCACAACGCTGTCCAACTGGCCAGTCAGCAGGAGTGGAGACGCCCTACATGCATCTCCAGTGGACGAGAGACCACGTGGATGGAAAGGCCTGGGAGCATTGCATGGGCTCTGATGCGTGGTGACCGTACGTGGTTGCAGGACGAGGAACGATCCACTCTTCCACCGTGCAGAGGGAGCCCTGGTGGCGAGTGCAGTTAGTGGGCTGCTACTGCAAGGCCAGCAGTTCAAAGCTACCAGCTGCTCCTCCCCGGGAGGAAGATGGGGTTTTGTGCTCCTGTAAGAAGTTACAGTCTCAGGTTAGGGTTAGAAGAAGAAAAAGACCAACAAAAAAAAAGTTACAGTCTCAGAAAGCCGTAAGGGCAGTTCCATAGGGCCCTATAGGGTCTCTGAGCTGGAATCCACTCAGTGGTGGTGCGTTTGAGTTGTTTTGTTTTTACCGTCTCGTGGACAGGGCTTCCTTTCTCTTTCTTTTTTTATGCTGACCCTCGACTTTGTCAAGTATAAAGCCCTCTCCCGGGCACTAAGCCTTCCTCGTGGGTGGAAGAAGTGCCATTGGTCCATGGGGTAATCCTATGCAGGGTATATCCATGGAGACGATGAGCACGGTGTGTTCACAGAGATATAGGGGCCAGGAAATCAGTCTGTGGACTAACTGATGCTCAGGTAAACTGGGGAACCAGACAATAGACTAATGCTCAGGTAAACTGGGGAACCAGACAATAGACTAACTAATGCTCAGGTAAACTGGGGGATCAGACAATAGACTAACTAATGCTCAGGTAAACTGGGGGATCAGGCAGCAGACTAACTAATGCTCAGGTAAACTGGGGAACCAGGCAGCAGACTAACTAATGCTCAGGTAAACTGGGGGATCAGGCGGCAGACTAACTAATGCTCAGGTAAACTGGGGAATCAGACAGGTAGACTAACTAATGCTCAGTTAATCCGGGGAATCAGGCAGTAGACTGATGCTCAGTTAAACAGAGCGAAACCAGTTCCATCGCTGGCTCCAGACTTGCGGGGACGCAGAGCCTCCTGCCTCTGTGCACCAAAGGCCATGTGCTCTTTGTCTTCAGATTATGGCCGAACGGAAGAATGCCAAAGCCCTGGCCTGCAGCTCCTTACACGAGAGGACCAACGTGAACCTCGAAGTCCCTCTGCAAGGTAGGGGCGGGACGGGCACGCTGTTCTTTGTGGTCCTGCCCGTCCTGGTGCAGACCCGGAGGGTCTCGGCAGCTTCTGTTCTCCATCCTGCTAACCTCTGATGAGCACGCCCTCCGGGTTCTGCAGCGGCACAGGACCCCACGTCGAGGGGGCGCCTTGGAGCCCGTGCGTGCCCGTAGCAACCCTGTGTACAAGAGAACCAAGCACGGTCTAGTCCATTCACAGTTGAGCCCACCGGTGCAGCCCCTGTCAGTCATCTCTCCAGGGCCTCCCTCTTTCTCGCTGCCCCTCTGCGTCACCAAGCATGACGTCCTCCAGGGCTGCTCCCTCCTGACAGCATTTCCAAAGGGTAGGACGCACAGTCTCGTCCTCCTTGCCTCTGACCACCGCTCCGGCCTGACTTCTCCTGAGTCGGAGATATCTTCTGCTGCTGTCGGCCGAGGAAAGAGGGTAATTTGTAGGCATTATTGCGCGCACCAGTGTGATGCGCTCCAGTGTCCCCCAGGCCTCGGCCACACGGAGCAAGGACACTCAACAGTTGTCGCTGGACCCACCTCAACGTGGCAGCTGCAGCTTGCAAGCGCTCCCCTCCCCGGACAGGACAGCCGCTGGGTGGGAGTTTGGCTGGGGGCTCCCCGAGGCCCCCTGGAATACGAGATGCTGTTCTCGTAGGGACATTGTGATGCAGGGGGTGTCCTGAGCTTCTCAGGTGGCACCGAGGGGGAGGTGGCTGTGCTTTGGCCCCAGCTTGGGAGCCACTGAGCAAGATGTGCTGCTTTTTGTGCCCCGTAGTAGATTTCCCAACGCCAAAGACGGAGCTGGTGCAGAAGTTCCACGTGCAGTACTTGGGCATGCTGCCTGTCGACAGGCCCGTCGGTATGTACACAGTCCCGTTGCCCCGCCCCACCAGCCCGGGCCCACGTGTGTGTGTGTGTTGTGTGTGTGTGTGTGTGTGTGTACACACGTGTGTGTATGTTCTCTCGTGGGAAGCGTTGGTCCTACCGAGAGGGCGGGTCTCCTTTCGTCAGGCCCTTCCACTGCCCCGTCCTCTGAGAGCATGTAAGCCATCGTGAGCAGAAGAGCAGTCAGCCAGCCTGATAACCAGCCTGGCCCCTGATCCCCAGATGACCGACCACAGAAAACAGTTGCTGCCAAGTTGATCCCCAACTCGTGACCCCAAGCATGTCAGAGTGAAACTCTGCTCCACGGTCCCGGGCTGGTTTTGCAGCAGTAGGTCACCAAGCTTCCTTTTGGCGGTGCCTCTGGATAGACTTGACCCTCCAGCATTGCAGGTAGCAGCCAGGTGTTAACCTGTTCGTACCTGGAGACTGCGGGGACTTTGAGACGGGCACGGGTTCCTCTGTGCTGTTCTGGATGTGGGACGGGGCCCTTCGTTCTGGGCAGCTGCCTTCTCCAACAGTCTGGAACCCAGATGGGGTGCACACTGCCATGAGCTCGCAGTTGCTGGCCATGCTGAGGGTCAAGAGGAACTGGGAAATGTGGCCATTCAAGAAAAGAGGCTATGGGGAAAGCCCAGGAAAAAGGCCCTGTCTGAACCGCACACCGTGCAAAAGTGGTCGTGTTTCAATACCGCAGTAAGAGAAAGCAGGTGCTGGCCCCTTCTGGGTCTTCTGTCCCAAGGCGGTTGCTCAGCAGCAGATAGAGTTGGCTGCCAGGCCCCCTCCGGGTCACACACCGGCCTGTGTCTGGACAGAGATGACCAGGGCGCCGTGATTGGAAGTGACATCACGCACTCCAAGTCCCTAGAGGGGTTCCCTCCACCCTTCTGTCTGGTGCAGCTTTCCTTGTGCACGACATGGGGACGGACGCTTTGGGCTCCCATCAGAAAAGCCCTTGAAGGCACAGCTGTGTCCCGGCAGCTTTCCTGGACCTCTGGTGCTAGGGGACAAGGCCCCAGGGGCTGCTGGGACTACGTGATTGGGGCCTGCCAGGTTGGATAGTGATAAAGGTCTCCGAGACCTCTCTCAAGCCCCCCTTCCCATCCGTCCATCTGCAGGCATGGATACTCTGAACAGTGCCATAGAAAGTCTCATGACCTCATCCGGCAAGGAGGACTGGCCGTCGGTGAATATGAATGTGGCTGACGCCACGGTGACCGTCATCAGTGAAAAGGTGAGGCGGACTCTTCGGTGCATCAGTGCCCCCCACCAGCCCCGGCCCCCTGCCGGCACGCACAGTATTTGCCTTCAGGAACCTTCCCCGAACCTTCCCCGAGCTTAGAAGCTTTGCCAAGCCTTACCGTCTGGGGAATTGTGCCGACCTCATCTTAAAATGGGCCCCATGTCAGAAACCTGGTGTCACCCCCTGACCCTGCCGTCCTCAGCCTGGCTCTGGACTCGGGGGGGCAGGGGGGGTCTGTTCTCACTCCCCTGTTTGCTCCTCTTGTGCTCGAGAGACTGGCGTCATAGGCATGCCCGAGGAGGAGGTTGGTGGACTACAGCTCACGGATGGCTCTGGGTTTCCAGGCCAGCGTGACTCCACACTCCGGGGTCACCGCAGGGGGTACCCCTCTTCTGGACGGTTCTGTGGGTGGTCCTGTGAGCGGGGGCGAGGCCGTTGCTCAGCTGGGGAGCCTCACCCCAAACAAGCCAGAGGAGAGTGAGGCACGAGAGTCGTCCCAAGAACATGTCCTGAGATCACACATGGCAGGGCCAGGATCCAAACCTGGGCAGGGTGGCTTTCCTCCCCGCCGCCTCTTTGAGTTCTTGCTGGCCCTTCCCCTTCAGGCCCAGGTCTCCTGCCAAAGAGGAGTGGGGCTGCCCTGCGGCCCCACCCAGCCTGGCACGCAGGGTAGTCTTTGGTTCTCACCGCAGGCCCCGCCCTCGCCTCCCTCGGCTGGGTGCTCGTTTTGTGAGCGCCACCCCTCCACCCCCACTTTCCCTTGAGCTCACCTCCTGAAAAACCCTCAGGACCCTCACACCAGGCCGGCAAGTCGGCCTGACCCACCGCCGCCCTGCACGCAGCAGACTGAAAGGCTGCCGTCCTGCGACGTCGCTGCCGGTGTCAGCCAGTCCTGCCGGCACTGACTCCACCGTCGCAGGCAGGGTCCCCTCCTCTGCCTCTGCCTCCACTTAAAAAAATCATTTTATTGGGCTCTTCGAGCTCTTGCCACAGTCCATACGTAAGTCCAGCCCATCAAGCGCATTTGTCCCCAGGTTGCCATCATCATTTTCAAAACAGTTTCTTTCTACTTGAGCCCTTGGTATCAGCTCCTTTCCCCCTCCCTCTTCTACCCTCGCTCCCTCATGAACCCTTGATCATTTATCCTTTTTGTTCCTGTCTCACACTGACCGCTGTCTCCCTTCCCCCATGGTTTCTGTTGTCCGTCCCCCTGGGAGGGGGTTCTGTCCCGATCATTGTGATCGGTTCCTTATTGGGGCTCTTATGGCTATTATCATAACCCATGCACCCATTGCGTCAAGCACATTTGTACATAGGGTGCCATCACCACTTTCTAAACATTTTATTCCCGTTTGAGCCCTTGGTATCGGCTTCTCTTTTTTTCCCTCTTCCCCCACCCTCCCACCCTCATGACCCCTTGATAAATGATAAATTATTATTATTTTCATGTCTGACACCAACCGCTATTTCCCTTCACCCATGGTTTCTGTCGTTCGTCCCCACCGCCCCTCTACACTGTCCCGCACGACGTCCTTCTCCAGGGACTGGTCTCCCGGGACAGCGTGTCCGAAGTGTGTGCGGAGCCCTCTGCAGCAGAAGGAACAGGCTTTCCCAGGCCCCGCCCATCCACGCACGGTTCTCCCCGGTTCTCCGCCAGCATCACCCATTCCTCCACAGGGTCTTTATTCTCTCACGTGTGCACTGCCTGTGAAGCATTCCCTCAGCATTAGCCAGCCCAGACACATGCCCTTCAGTCTCCCGCCAGCTCCCTGGGGTGGGCCGACCCCGTCCGTCCGTTCCTGCGGTCCCCCGGCTGGCCCTGAGCAGTCTCTCCTGCAGAAGGAAGAGGAAATCCTGGTGGAGTGTCGCGTGCGCTTCCTGTCTTTCATGGGCGTCGGGAAGGACATCCACACCTTTGCCTTCATCATGGACACCGGGAGCCAGCGCTTCGAGTGCCATGTGTTCTGGTGCGAGCCGAACGCGGGGAACGTGTCCGAAGCCGTCCAGGCGGCCTGCATGGTGAGTAGCTCTGGCGAGTCAGGCCAGGGTGACCGCTTCACAAGGAGACAAGAAGCCACTTGCTAGCCTGGTGCTCCCCTCGCTGACGCCTGTGCTCCTGAGGGCAGGATGAAGCGATCCCAGGAGCACCTCGCTTTATCAGACCCTGAGGCTGTCCTGTGCAAGAGGGTTAAACATCTAGGGCAGAGGGAAGGGGGGAATGATCGCAATGATGGACACCCCCCCCCAGGGGGATGAACAAGAGGGACCACAGGGGAAGTGAGATATGAAAATAATAATAATTTACAATTTATCAAGGGTTCATGAGTTGGGGAGTGGGGAGGGAGGGAAAAAGAGAAGCTGATACTAAGGGCTCAAGAGAAAGTACATGTTTAGAAAATAATGATGGCGACATACGTACAAATATGCTTGATACAATTGATGTATGGATTGTGATAAGAGCTGTAAGGCCCCCCAATAAAATGGCCTTTAATAAATACATTTTTGAAAAAACAACAAAAGCAGTAGGGGACGCAAGGAAACTCCCCCGAAGGAGCCTGCTGGGTCACAAACACCACTGGCGAGTGGCCGGGGGAACCAAGCCGCCTCCCACAGTGCTGGGACCTCAGAACCCACACCTGGCCTTTGGCTCCTTGGTGTGTAGCTGACCCCTGTGTGGCATCTGCCCTTCCCCTGCCTGTGGGACAGGCTGCCCGTCTGCGCTATGTTTAATCACTCAGGACCTACGCTGGGCTGGCCACCCTGCGAGAACAGAAAACCCGATTTCCACGCAGAAGCCTGTCCGATGGGGAAAAGAGTCAGGACTCCCACACACCTGTCGGGGAGGATGCCAAAGTTCAATCTGCGGGGTTAGGGTCCCACTGTTGGTTGTTGGGGGGCCGGGACACACAGTTCAGCTCACAAGAGAACGAGGAATGAGGTTGAAAACAGGCCCCGTGAGGATTGGCGATCCTCCCTCTCCCCGTGCCCCTGTGCGATCGGAGAACGTGGGTCAGGCACGAGTTGGGGCTGTTTGCAGTCCGCTGAGTGCTTTTAAGATGCAGCACTCTGACCCGGCTCTTATGGGCCTTTGTCACGGCAGGGGGGTCCACGCAACCCATCACATTCCCATCCCCACCTTCAGTGCGCCCTTGGGGGCTGAGGGAGAGAGCTGGTCAAGCTGGAAGTGGGGCCCATACATGCCCTCCAGGCACCCTGAAATAGTGGAGAGCCTAGAGGAGGAGCCAGGAGGCATAGAGAACCCCCCAAACTGGGAGGCTTCCGCAGAGGAAAGGGCCCGTGGCATGGTGGGTTCAGCGGTGGGCTTGTAGCCGTGTGGTCAGCCGACAGTTCAGAGCTGCCAGCCAGGCTGAGGAAGAAACAGAGAGAGCCACGGCTCGCCTGGGGATTTGCAGTGCTCCCCCGTCCTGAGAGAAGGTTCACAGTGGCTCAGAACCTGCTTGAAGGCAATGGGTGCATGGAGGCGAAGTTGCGAGGGTCCTCGGCTTTTTACCCACAGGAAGTGCCGGCTGGGCAAGGCCCCGGGAAAGGAGAGGCAGAGGCGGGCATTCTACAGGACGCCCCCGGGATGGAGGGAGGGCCGGGGAGGACCGAGTGTGGAGTCGTTCACAGAGGCCCGGCGCAGGGCCTTGTTCCTTTCTTCCCACGGCCCTTTGCTGGTCTGAGGGGAAGCCAGGACTCTAACTCGAATGCCCCGAGTGTAGGGGAGTCGGGCTGGGGGCGCAGGGGTGACAGCACTGTGGTGGGGAGGGGGCTGCTCCGACAGGTCGCTGAGAGACCCTGGAATGAAAATAGACCGCGGGCATGCTCAGTCACGCAGAGATGGCGGTGGGAGGGAGGTGTCTCGTGCAATTGCAGTGGGTCCTGACAGATGGCTGTAGTCATCAAATGAAGGGTTTCCAGCCTCAATTATTCCTTTTAAAGGTAGGTGGCAATTAAATAATTAGCTTTTCGACTGGCTACAGCATGTTTTCTGGTTCCCAGACTCTCGGAAACAATGTTTCTTCATTTGTTCCCTGTGGTTTCCACACAGCCAACATGGCAGGGGCAGGCTGCTCCCACCCTGGCTCCTGCTCTCCACGCAGACCCAGCATTCCCAACCCCTGGGTCCTGATCTCCACACAGACCCAGCATTCCCAAACCCCTGGGTCCTGTCCTCCACACAAACCCAGCATTCCCAAACCTCTGGATGCTACGTGACCTGCTTCTCTGAACCTGTACGTGTTGCAGTTTCCACTGTTAACCTGCTTCTGTGTTAATGGTTAAGCTCATGTCTTGCAACCGCCTGGCAATAGGCCCAGCAAAGATAGGTTGGCGGGACTTGACCAGGCCCGAGATGGGTCCGTCAGTCCATCCATCAGGGCATTTTTGGCTCACACTGCACGGATGTGCATAAGTAACAACTGAGATTCCAAGTCAGGCACTAGGTCTGGCCCGCCTGCCCGTGTAGAAGCTGGTGTGCTTTAGCTTTGCCTGTTCCTGGTTGTGGTGTAGACCCCGCGAGACGAGACGCTGTACAGAGATGCTGTACACGGGGAAGACGGAAGGAGCTGAAAGTAGCTAGTTTTGTGGAATCCAGGTCTGACAGAACAGTGGAACAGAGCCGACCGTTTCCCTAGCCCCAGTCTAACTAGAGACCCTTCATGCTGGTTAAGGGGGGCAGTCAGCACATTTCCCCAGCAGCACTAGGGAGCTTCTGATAGCTCAGCTAATTGTTATAAAGCAGCCATGTGTTATTTAAAAGTGTTTGGATTAGAAAGTCATTTGATGAACTTTAATCTTCTCATTAAAAAAAAAATGTTTCCTATGAAAGCAGAAGCCGATGGGGGCACTTCTTTCTGAAGGACAGAAATTCTCCGTGGTGACGATGCTAATAGCATTTCAGGGGGGGTGTTTTGCTTAGGATTTAGACTTGTAAACAAAATGCATCCTGGAATGTTCAGTCCCTCTCTCGTGACACCAGTGCCCGTGTGTGCCGGCCTGTCTCAGGCAGCCCAGAGCCGGCCCTTCCTGAGTCCTCAGCTCTCTGGAAAAGCTGTCCCAGGACCACCTCATGGTGAAGAAACGCAGGCCCAGAGACATGGGCTAAGCTGGAGTCAAGGGCTCACAAGCGGTACCTCCACGAGTCAGACTGGGCCCTTGCGACACTGGGTGGCCGCTCAGCTGGCCATGAGCACTGGTCTAGGCCCAAGTGACTGGAGAAACGCCTGATGAGGCCTGTCTCTCCCACGTCTCCATGGTGGCGAAGCAGTGTGCTTGTCGCCTGACCCAGGAACAGGCAGAGGCTGGTCAGGACGGAAGGAAAGGAGTCCACAGCCTGAGCACCTTGCGAAGCCTAACAATCCCTTAAAAGAATGTAAAAAGACACGTTGTAAAAAACAAACAAAAATAAGATCGACCCTTGGATTTGTGTTTCAGACCCCCTGCCATCGAGTGGATTCCAACCCTAAGTGCCCCGATGCAGGGGAGGGTGGAACTGCCCCGGGGGTTCAGAGACAAACTCTTTCCTGGAGTCGAGAGCCTTGCCTGGTCTTGAACTGCTGACCTTGTGGTTGCCAACGTAGGAGCTGGGTTTTGTGACTTGTAGGAAGAAATGTCTACGTGCAGTTGATTAAAGGATGGGGCGGTATTAACACCCACGGGCATCTTTCGTCTCGTTTCAGTTACGATACCAGAAGTGCTTGGTGGCCAGGCCGCCGTCACAGAAAGTCCGGCCACCTCCTCCACCAGCGGACTCAATGACCAGAAGAGTCACAACCAATGTAAAGCGAGGGGTCCTCTCCCTCATTGACACTTTGAAACAGAAACGTCCGGTCCCAGAAATGCCGTAGCTGCAGGTGTGGAAGGGCCCCGCGGTGGGCACCTGAAGACGGACCAGCTCCAGGAAAGAAGACAAACTCATGCCTGGCCTTCCACCCCCGGCAGGTGCTTGACCTTCAGAGAATGATCCTAACAAAAACAGTGTTAGACAAGCATGTTCTCTCGCTCTCTTCTCTCTCTCTCTCTGTCTCCTAGCCACCATCACGTGATATGAAAAGGCGCATGAAGTCATTTTTTTCTGCCGTCAGCAAGTGACCTCACGAGTGGTGGAAGGTCTTTTTCTTACTGTAAATAGTGTGACTTACAGAGACGCGCATGGCGCACCCCGGGAACTGATGGAGAGGCCTTGGCAGGGTGACGGCCGGCTTCTGCCCTCAGACCTGGCACAAGTGACCCTCCCACCCCCACGGCGCTCTGCCCTGTCCCGTCTTCGGCGGCGCCATGGTCCGCACGCTGATTTTGCCGTTGCTTTCAGAGTAGGATGACCAGGTTTGGGTTTCGTTTTTTCATCAGCGTGAATCCAGGGGTTGACAAAATGCAAATTGGCTGCCAGCCTCTAGAGAGAAACCGACGACCGGCAGCCTTCCTGGGCGAGCTCATGGGCGCACAGACACCCATTCACATCTTCAGCGCCTTGTCGGATGGCGGGGTCCGGGTGGGAGTGTAAAACTTCAAAATGGAGGGGGGGCGGGAACCTGCTACATTTGAGGAATTAAAACCACAGAAAATAGCCTTTCTGAACAGTTAGGTTTCAAACGGATTATTTTTTAAGAAAAAGGAAGAAATTGACAAAAGCATCATGCATTTCGGGTGGGATGTATTTCAACTTCTGCCTTATATTATACGATGCAGCTAGAGAAGTAGAATTCACTATGGCCATTCTCTACAAGGACAACATTCCAGTGAAGCTTCCAGGCTTCCTGTGGACCATTCGCGGAGACACAGTTGAGCGTTGAGGAGCTGTCCAGGATGCTCCCATCATGCGCCGTTATTTTCGAAATCCACCACCGCATTTTCTCTTTGTTAGACCACCTGTAAGGATGCGGCACTCGCTCAGTACCGTGCATTTTGCCCAGAAAGCTGCCTGCCCTTCGTGTATAGTCCATAGCTACAAACTCCATCCGGTTGAACCTTCCTTGAATTGAGGTGTTTAATATCCGAATTTGTTGGACTCTCGTTAGGATATATTTTTAAATCTGTATCATTTTCATTTTATTTTCGAGGTTTTGAAATTTCGTATCGGAACAAAATATGCATAGGAACAACGGACTCTTTAACACGTGTCCCCCAAAGCTGCATTTTTTTCTTGCTTCTTTGTAGAGAATGAAAACTTAGCTGTCAAGATGAAACTAATTTAGGCTCTTGTTGACGTCGTTTGAAAATTAAGTTGCTAAGGAGATCAACTTAAATATCATGTCTTCACTGTTTAGTGTCAAATGTTCTGAAACATCCCGTTATGTAAAAGGAAGGCTTTGCATTTACACAGTGCTATGCCCGCATCGAAATGGTTTCCATGTTCGTTACCACGTTTGAGCCTTAGCGGGTAGAGAAGGGGAGAAATGAAAACACGGAGGGCCCTGAGGCTAAGCCATTTGACCCAAGAGCTCATTAATGTGAGGGCCCTGGCCAGGACCCAAGTGTCCCAACTTCCAGTTCGGAATGTGCCTGGCTGCTTCCACAGCCGTCTCAGAAGCCTTCCCAGAATGACTCTGGGCAGCGGTAGAACAGAGAAGGCGTGGAAGCATCCATCATCAGGCAAGCGGAGCATTCTCTCCAGTGGGGAGCCGTGCCGTGGTCCTCATTAAAGCCACCGCACTCCTTCAGCCCCAGTGTGTTTGAGAGGACAGGCGCCTCTAGTCAGTGCAGCCTGTTCAACCTGGGGTAGTGTCCGCTCACAGTATCTGGCTGCCAGAGAGCATAAGGCGGTATGCTCCTGCCTGCTCTCCCCTTGACACACTCCCTACACATACACACACATCATCTGTTTCCAGGGAGGGGCGGGGGTCCCCACTGGTACACCAGGCACTCCCAGCTCATGGTGGCCCCATTGGGTATCAGAGGTGAGGGGTGCTCCGTAGGGTTTTCAGTGTAAGTCGATGGCTAGGCCTTTCTCGGAGACCACTCTTAACCGTCGGCTCTTGTGGTTATCCATCCGGGCATGTCGATGGTTTGCCGCTGTAGCATGGCATCGTGCTCAAGAGCCAAAGGCATTGGTCTCTGAAATAGCCAGTGTTTGTGTTAAGGAAAGCCCCGCTGTGTGCCCTGTGAAAAGCTGTTCAAAATCCACCCGTGAAGACCTTTTACCCGGAGTGCCCATGGAAGACGTTCACGTCCTAGCCTTCGTAATTCGGAGCAAAGCATCCGTGTTTGTATTGGACACCTCTGCCTCCCCCCCACCCACCCACCCCGGGTCATCTTTTGTAAGGCCTATGTTTGTTTGTTTTCGGGATCAAGAGTACTGAGCTAGCTTTAAGTAGCAAACTGATTTATATATGCAATTATAGGATGCATTAAGATGAATGATAGCCTTTACATATTGAAAACTCTACTGCACCTACTTTGTGTTAAAAATAGCTTTGCATATGAAATGCAAATTTATTTTGTAAAATTAGTTAATGTTCCACAGTATATGTTCAGCCCTCTCTGCCATGGCCAAAAAGTACATATGGGAGCATGTGTGACCTGTGTCTGTGACAGGGGGCCCCTGCTCCAACCCGGTCTTGTCGTGACGTGTCAGGATCTATGCATTCTCTGTATCCGTGGTTCTGTAAACCGGCAGCCATGTTCACTATGCCTTGTATGTCTTTATCGGTTTTTTTAATTAACCTGTTAAATACAGCTTAAAATATTTTTATTTTATTTATTCTATTTTTACTGAAATATACAGCATTATTGTGTCAATGTATGGTCTTGACCGGATAGTCTCTCGCAGCGTATCCAGGTCTAAGTAATCTCAGTGAACTCTTATCTATGTTGCCTAAAAGGTGGTTTTTGTAATGATTTGTAATCACATTTTTATTGGAATATGTAGAAGAGGAGGTAAAAGGTGTAAAGTTCTCTTTATTTTTTAAAAGCCACTAGGTAGATGCAGACCTGCCAGCTCTCGCACGCGCTCCTTGTCGGCGTCAGGGCATCAGTCCACACGCCTGGGGCTCGGCCCTTTCCTTTGCAGCTGAAAGCACTGCCGGGTGCCTCACTGTCACAGCTTCCCCGCCACACGAGACTCCATGTGAAAGAGACAGACATGGCCTCCTGCCCTGGGTTTCCACCTGGATATAAGATCACCCACAGCTGACTAGGAACACTGAGTTTTGCGGGGTGGTTTGGGTCGGTTTGTCTGTCAGATCGCATGAAGGGACCTTAGATTCATTGCCATTAAAACAAGTTCTTGGTGATAAACTGTTGGCACTGCTACTTTATTTGAGATTCACTTTCTGCTCGTAAGATGGCCAGTTATAATACTCTTCTGCAGCACACGGTCACTTACGAAACCCAGCCCACTGCCCTTGAGTCTCTTCTGGCTCCTAGCCGCCCTCCAGGACAGAGTAGAACTGCCCTTCAGAGCTTCCAAAGTGGTCATCTTTAGGGAGGCGGACTTGTCACATCTGTCTCCCGTTGGGTGGCTGGTGGCTGACCTTGCCCAACGCTTCACGGTGGCGTCACCCGGGCTCCTGGGGCACTTGCTAGAAACAGTCATGCTTCCTTTCCTTCCTCCCCTACCTCTGTGACACATGTTTCGTAACACTTGAGACAAATTCTAGGTTTCATAAGCAACATGAGAAAACATTTCCCTAACTGGTACTAGCACAGTTTATGAGCTTCCCAGATGCCAGGTTAATGCGTGGCTGATGTGGGTTCACAGCCAGTGAGGCAACGGGTAGTTTATTTCTACTTGGGGAAAGGCACGTGCTCACATGGGACCAATCAGAGGACTCTCAACCATCCAAAGCAGCTGTTTGGGTTGGGGGGAGGGGGAGCGGGTTTGCTTTCCTCTTTGGCCCGTTTTTGATGTTGACCACCTTACATATTGAAATGTAATCTGTTGTAAGAATAAACTTAGCTGCATAAAACGCTCGGCTCGTTGATCTGAGATCCCTTTCATGCATGCAAGGACTCAAAATAAGAGTACCTGTGTCTCCTCTACACGAGCCATTTGATTTTTCAAATATGACCTACCTCAAATGAGACGTTAGCCGTAGTGGGAGTTACTGCACAGTGTGGCCGCAGAGCAGTCCCTGGTCCTGATGTGTTGGTGCGCAGAGTCCGGCTGGCTCCTGGGCTCTTCAGCCACGCAGCCCCCTTTCTAGGGCTACGGCAGGTGTGAGGTCTGGTTTCCTTTCAGAACTTGACAAGCCATAGTCTTCACTAGAATTCTCATTATTTTTAACCAAAGTATTTTTTCCCCTTTTCAGTCTACCAGAGTGCATATATAATTACTTAGGTCCTTATCAGTACATTCTCGAACCGCAGGCTCAATTAAGGAATGATTTAATTCAGAATCCTCCATAAACGTCTAAAGATAATTCCGTGTCAAAACGCATGTTAGACTGAAAACAGTTTAAGCGTCACATGACAGTCATTGTATGTTGCTATCGTGATTGGAAAATAAAAATGAGTTTTCTTGTTACAACTTCACAGAATACACTTTTAATAAAAACCTCAGACTTGCTGCTTTTAGGAAATGGAGTATTTAAACTTGGGGCAGGTAAGGAAGGCACTATTCCAGGGATGTGAAATGCCTTACTTGAGCAATGTGGAATTAGACTATACCAGTCTCCCAGAGGCCAGGAACATTCTAGCCAACTAGATATTTGAGTTGATGGGAATAAGAAGATGAGATGGAGCAAAAGGGTACATAGTTTTCAAATTCTGCAATCAGTAGTAAAATAAAATGAACATTTAAACTGTAGTATTCTGGGGGGTTTGTTAGAAACCATAAGTCACATATAAAAATAATTCTTTGGGGATTGAAAATAAAGAGGCTTAGTTCAAATATTTAAAGTCTGGCTTCCTTCCCTGACACATTTTACCTAGAAATGTAAATCTTCAACTAAAAATAATTTGCTATTAAAGTGGAATTCACCATTCGTCTTTTTTTAACTCTCCAAGTGAGGAAACAATATTATATTGGAGCTGAAATATAGCTAAGCCTTCATTTTGCAGAAGATAATATTTTACTAAAATCAGGGCACCTGAATTGAACATTCAGGAATTTACACACTGCCAACTGAATTCTGAAACTGGTGAGCCTTGCCAATGTGTTTAGGACATTAAAAAACAAACACCAAAAAACATTAAAAACAATGTGTTTAAGAACATTGAAAACAGACAAACCGGTTTCCAGCTATTACTTGGTTCCATGTCGAACAATTTCTGTGGCCTGATGGAAAAAGGAATGATGATCATACATTCTTAGTAGGCAATTAAAAGTACTTTGAAGGTGGATTGACTTTTAATATAATTAACATAGTGCTACAATATATTTTAATAGATTGCACATCAAAGATGATTTGCCAAAATGATGACTATTTGCAATTTGAACTGACTTGATTTTGCTATCTCACCTAGTCTTTCATATCATATCAGAATTCTTATGACTTTCTTCAACAGTTTGTCACGTGGGTTCAACAGTGTTGCCTCTTCCTCAGAAGTACTAATATTTAGGTGGAAATTGGCTTTAGGTCATCTTTTTACAACAGTAAGGGGCAGACATGGTCGGGAGGGAGAGTTGATCTACTCAGGCACCTGGAAGCTCCTCCGGAGAGAGGTCACCTTCACCCTGTGAGCTACGCACAGCCGCGCTACCGCACCTGCACCTGCCACTTTGGCACACCTGCTTTGCAGCTCATGCTCAACCTCGCGTCCCATTGAAAGGCTAATCGGCCTTGCTAGCAGTGGCTGAGAAGGTTCCACTGTGGCTGGGGAGGAGCTACCTGAAGTAGGAGGGAAAGGACGGGCAACAGCTCCGCAATCTGCTTTCTCATCTATTGGCTGGGGGAGGCGGGGCCGTGGGGGGTGTAGCTGCAGCTAGCTCGCTTTAAAAACTGGTGTCAGGTGCCGACTGCAAATTGACAGGAATGAGACAGCTCTAAAAACGGAGAACAGAGTGAGTGCAAACGACCTTCTTGAACCGATGAGCCCGGAGCCCCGACTTGCCTGGCTTGAGCTAGGTTGCCATTCATTTCTCGCTGGCCCGAGTGCCCCGGACGCAAGGTCAGGGAGGAGCGGGTAAGTGACCTGCCGGAGAGAGCGGTCTTGGGTAGGGCTGTGGAACCTTCAGTGAAATGTCAGGCTTTGAAAAAGCAGTGGACTGCCCTTGACCCTGGTGGGGACAGGCAGGGGGAGGGGCAGTCAGAGCCAGGGCCGAGGTCGCCTGAGTAGGGAGGAGGGCAGGTTCTCTTTGGGTTTGTCCCTTCTGCGGGGGATGGAAGCTGCGGGCAGGAAGGTGGTCACCAGGGGCCTGGGTGCCACCCAGCGATAGCAGCAGTGCTGGGTCGGCCGGAGGCCCGAGGGGCTGGAGAACGGCAACATGACCGGCGGCAGAAGGATCTCCACGGGCTTCAGGGCCACCAGCTTGTCCTCGGGGCGCGGCCGGCTGAACTGGGGGGGCCGCTCGCCCGGCCTGGAGGGCGAGGCGTTCTTCAGGTACACGGGCACCAGGGGGTGGGCGCCCGGCTTGGTGGGCTTTCTGGCCTGCGGGGGGCCGCCCACGGGAGCCGCGCTTTTCTGCGGGAGAGCCGGTTTGGGGGGCGACGTCTCGGGGGCGTTCGCGTTCCCTTGCATTTCTCGGTTCAGGAACTCGGCGATTCTCACTTGGATGCAGCTGTCGTTCATTGCCGCTTTGGGCAAGGACGTCTTGGACCGTTTCTTCTTCTTCTCCCGTTTGGAGGACTTGGTCAGCTCGAGCCCGTCCAGGAGGCCCTTGGCGGCGGCCCGGGCCAGCACGTCTTTCACAGACACGGTCTCCGAGGGGTCCCGCTGCAAGGAAAGAAGCAGGTGCTGAAGGGGAGTCCTTCACTGCCAGTGCGGATAGGGCACAGGCTTCTCAAGGCCTTCTAAAAGCAGTGTGCTGGCTACAGGAGGCGAAATCGATTTTACAAGGTCGGCCCAGAAAGATCTCATAAGCCTCAATGGGTGGCATTCTTTGGGATTTGAACTTCCCCCTCTGTAAACCTCGCTGAAGAGGCAGGTCTGTCAGAGCAGCAGCATGTCTGCCATTCCCTTCCCACGGGCGGACCAGGAGAAATGCCCTGCACGTTAACAAACTGCTTGGGGAGGACAAGCAATGGAGGAGCACCCCGGAGAAATGGAAAGACGGTGGATGATTTGACACACAAGAATGATTCTTTCTCAGGTGCTAACTATTTTTGTAACAAGCACGTCACTACCAGATGCCCACACGGTTGTAAAGGGTCTGTTTTCCTTACCTCCCTGGTCAGAATGGAGAGGAAACAACCATTGGTAACTTCAGATGGCTCCATTCGGAAAAATTTATCAGAGGACAGATGTATTTCCTTTAAGGAGCAGAGCGGAAGAACAGGCGGACTAAGCCTACAGTGGACACAAACCAGGTCATGGTTAGAGCAGCTTAGTTTCTCTTGGAGAAAGAAACTTACGCCTAAGTTTGCATCCATTCTGTTCTACCAACCATTTCAACAGAAACAAGAATCAAGTGTTTAAGCCACCCTTCCCAGAATATAAATGAAAAGTTTAAACAATTTATATTTCTTCATAATTTATTGTACATCCCAAGTTCTCCATCTTTAAACTCTACTAGGCATAACAACCTTGTAACAAAAAAACTGCCCTTCCCTTTATTAACAAGAGGCTTCCATGATCAAAGCAGCTAAATAAGGAACATAAAACTGTAATCCAAAAATTGCTATACTTGCATACATTGTCAAAATATGAGCAAGGTCAGCAGTTCAAAACCACCAGTCACTCCATGGGAAAAGATACGGCTTTCTACGCTGGTAAACAGTTACCGTCTCAGAAATCCACAAGGGCAATTCTACCTTGCTTTATCGGGTCTCCACGAGTCAAAGTGGATTGGATAGCAGCCATGAGATGAAGTTAGGTGTGTTATATAAAAATCATTAATGTGTTTAAAATAAAATGTTGGCTTTTAGTTCACTCCATCATGCCTGGGGCCTTAAAAGCTTGCAAGTGGCCACCTAAGGCACCATTGGTCTTTACCTGGAGCAACTGAAGAGTGAGGAGGAGGGGGAGGAGGAGGAGGACAGGGAATGAATGGCTAATTGCCTCTATGAATGACTGCCTCCTTTGCCATTAGACCAGAACTAGATGTGCCCAGCTGCCATGACTAAACACTGTGATCAAAGATTCTCTAGAAGACTCCTGATCAAAGGGGGGAATATGTAAAACAGAAATTCAAATTTCCATAGACTCTAGACTTTCTGGAGCTATGGAGGGAGGATGAGACCCTAAAACTATTATCATTACCTGAAACCAAAACTATCCCTGAAGTTTTCTGAAAACCAAACAATAGTTTAGTTGAACTAGACTAAAAGATTAAAAATCTGCCCAAGCATTGTGCTATTTTAAGAAATATCTTTATGAGCTCAAATCAAGCACACAACAGGAAAGAGTGGACAGGAACCTTAAGGGGCAGTGGGTTTCAGTTCATGAAGGAGGGTCACTCAGAATCGAAAAGTGGCTGCACAACGTGAAGACTGTAATCTGTGTCACAGCATTGTACAAGTGTGGAAACTTGAATATTCTCAATAATAACAAAATAAAATTTAGGGAGAAAAACAAAAGAAGCCCACATCCATCTCAGGCCTGGTGGGTACTGATGGCTAAAAGGGGCCTTCAAAATTGTATAAAGTTTTTTAGATAATATCCAATTTAATGTCTACTATCTAAGGATAAATTTCTTGCATGCAAGTAATCTAAAAACAAGGATATAAAATTTGGATCCATTTTGTTGACAAGCCAAACAAGTCGAAGCCAAAAATGCATTCAACTTCAACAAAGAGACCAATAGCAAAATAATCTTCTAATGGACAAGAGAAGGCCTGGGCCGTAACCACCCTACCTGTAACCTAGGGAGGGAGGTAACCGATCAAATTAAAACCGAAAGAGAAAAAAAAGGAAGTGGCATATCTGTATAAACCAGCCCCTGCCCCAAGAAAAACAACAGCCACCACTCTGTTGCTATTGAGACGATCTGAAAATGCCTTCTTGTTAGCAGGTGCCACCTCAGAGCAACCCTGCGTACGACAGAAAGCAACTCCCCGGCTCCTGCGCCAGCCTCCTCGTCTTCTTCTTTTTTTTAAAAAAACATTTTATTAGGGGCTCATACAACTGTTATTGCAATCCATACACACATCAATTGTGTAAAGCGCATTTGTACATCATTCTCAAAACA